AAGAAAATTATATTATTAAACCAAATATAAATTACTTCATTATTGTACCTAAATTAAATTATAATAAAAAATTGAATTAAAAAATTACACAAAAAATGAGGAATTTCAAATAGTTAATTTGATACTAATATCGATATATTTTTGCCAAATTTTTATGATATCTTCAAACATATATTTTATTTAAAAATAAAAACATCATCGTTTTTTTAAAATCACATAAAGTCATATTATAAGATCGACTGAGATAAAGAATAAAATGAAATATTAAAATCACGATGTATCTCGCTGCATTGCGCGAGTACGTTTCTAGTTTATCCATAATTAGTTATACGAATTCAAAAATCGAGCTTTAATAAGTTGTACTTACGCATAATCTACTTGTAATCTTGAGTTTTAAGTAATATGCATTAATAAACAGTACTTTACGCATAAAAATTAGTTTTTAAGAGTTTTTTATCAAATACACAATATAACATGATATATCTTGATGCTAAAGAATACGAGTCAATTTTATTGTAAACTAGGAATAACAAATTGTCATGAATATGTAATTAAAAAATAAAATATAAAATTTGTTTGAATAGAATAAAAGTTACATGTGGTGGTGGGAATGCTTTGCTATTTTGAATAATTGATAAGAAAACAATTTATCGATATTTTAAATTAAAGATTATAAAATTCTCATTTATAAGGTATAATTTAGATATTTTAAATTTAAAAATAAAATGTAGTTTATTTTAGCTTTAATGATAGAATATTTTTTCTTTGAGAAAGGTAACATGAGTTTCCAAAAGTAATTCAAGTTTCCATTCATATTTTTTGTAAAAAAGATAAAATAAGAATATTATAAAATTCGAAATGTATTATTGATTTTAATAATTGTATTTTTGAAAATTAAGAGCTTTATAAAAAGAATTAGATGTTCTATGATATAGTATTAGAAGGGTACTCATGTAATGTAATGAGATATATTTTTTTTTTTAGTGTTTCGTTTTATTTTTTTTGTCTTTGTTAATATAATACGGTTTATATAGTTTTGAGAATGATAATATTTTTACTTTTAAATAAAAATAAATTTCAAAAAATAAATCGATATTAATATCAAATTAACTTGTTTTTTTGTACAATTTCTTTAATTCAAATTTTTATTATAATCTAATTTAGATCTAATAGCGAAGTAATTTATTTTTGGCTTAACAATCTAATTTTTATAAAGATAATGATTTTGTTAGAACTCAATGATTATCTTAATTATATTTTAGATTTTTTATATTTAAAATGAGATTTTTATCTTATATTTGATTATGTTTATCTGCACTTAATTATACGAATTCAAAAATTAAGCTTTAATAAGTTGAACTTACGCACAATTACTTATAATCTTAAATTTTAAATAATATGCATTAATAAACGATATTTCATGCATAACAAATGGTTTTTAAGAGTTTTTAACAAATATTTTATAATATAGTATAGATAAATATGAATTACTTGTATATACGTAGATATTATCGATTTGGAATGGGAATCACTTCCAGTTTTATACTCAAAAATCTTCTAATTTGTGGAACTGTTGAACTCCCGGTGGCCTAAATTCAATAAACTAATCCAGGATTCTCTTCCCCTTTTACCGCATTCTAAACTGTTTCCTTCTCCTTGTTTATCGACATCAATCCTTTTCTCTTTGCTTTTTCATATTTATACACCACCAGGGTTTAACCTCTAAACCCTTCCCTTCCAACATAATTTCAGGTACGTAAACTTTAATCCATTTGTTTCTCGAATATCTTCTCCATCAGGGCTTGAATTTCTATCTGTTTATGGTGTGCATTCTGTGTGAATCAATGAGCCTAATTAGGTTTATTTGTTTGTTTCTAATTCACATGGATGAAGTTATAACCCGAATCATGTTTTCAGGAGATCGATCAAGCTTCAAAAAGTCATGGGATCCTTGCTTTGTTGTCTTCGTGGCTCGGCCATTGATGAAGAAGATGTAGACTCTAATGATAACGAACAAGTTCAAGAGTCGAACAACACAACCGATAGAAGCACCCCCCAAGCCGGTTTCAATGTGTTCGCACATGGCGTCACAAAGATGGTATGTTTTAATTCCGTATGGTGTTGATTATAACTTGAGTTGTTTCGGTGTTTTTTATCCGATAAAACTAGTTAAAGATCACCTTATGTTTGACCATGATTCATGATTTTGCCCGATAATTGGTTCGCTAAATGATCATAAGTGTCTTAAAAGCTTTAATTTGTATTTGGCATTTGATCTAGTAGACTATTTGTGTTCTATGAAAGAATATGCATTTTGACTTGTAAGGGCCACTAAACATATTAGTTTCGTAGCAAATTTCGTAAGCAATTTAGTTAGGGGTCGTTTGCTATCTGGTTACCACCTCTTTTCGGGTAAGAGGTGTTTTTCCGGTTACAGATGTTTACCAAGCCCCTCTTATTGGTCCATGATGCTGATCCTCTAAGTTAAGGGATGCAATCTTAAAGGTCATTTACTAAGTAACCATTACTTTATCAGGTGAAACTTAGACATAATCTTCGTTATTTACACAAAATTGAATTCGACTAACTCTCGATTGTTTGTTTGTTTCTTTAGTGTAACGATCTTTTTGGAAGTGGAGTAGCGGGATCTCTGCAGTCTTCATCTTCTATAAGGGATGCCAAAAGTTTAAATCATTCAGACGTAGAACCAGAACTAGCTCGTGGAAGTAGCGGGCTAACATTTACACGTGACGAAGATTGTGAATCATCAAAAGATGACGAATGTCTTATTTGCCTTGAAGGTAAGTCTTTTCTTTCGCATTCTATGCTTGTCAAGGACTCATGTCAATTTTATTACCAAACTAAACGAGTTCAGTACATCCCATTTGACAGTGGGACATGTGGGTATGCAGATCTGATCTCTATCTAAAAGAGGGTTTTTTTCTTGTTGTACTTGCTATATTCATTGAAGTGTATTTGGTCGCAGAATATACAAGCGAAAATCCGAGGATTACCACAAAATGCTTACACGATTCTCATCTTAGTTGCATCTTGGAGTGGCAACAAAGAAGCGAACTTTGTCCGGTTTGTGCAAAGGTAACGTTTTTTTGTTCAAAACCGTTGTTAGAAACGCCTTTTGACTTTCGTTTTTTCGCACCCCGAAATCGACAATACTTTCTTTCTGGTCTCTAGATTTGAACCCTTGCTTACTTCACTCCAATTTATATACTATTCTCTACTATATTTAAAGGCTTTTATTTCTAAAAGTCGAGTAAAAAACTAACTTGTTTGACTTCAAAAAGTCAAACTGATTTTCTACAGATTATTCACAGAATCATCTAACGCTTTTGTGTTTGACTTTTGTAGTTGATGGAATTTGAGGAGATGAGTTGATTGCAGAATCCCTCATCCGGTTGACTTTGGTCAACGGTATCTTGAAGAAATACGTAGAAGATCAAGAAATCATAGCCCAATGAGTGAACATTTAACGATTGATGTTAATATTTTCATTTGAGAGTATATTTTTTTTAAGAATTAGGTCTAATTGTTGGTTTGATTTCGGTTTTTTTTTACCAATTTTGAAGATTATATATTAATACAGTCATCGGATTTTTATTTTATTTTTGCTATTTGTGGGTGTTCGGTCAGCTTGCACGTGCCTTTATTAATCTCATGGGGTTTTGTAGAACAGCGAAGAAAGTCTCCAGTGTCCTTGGAACATCTTCAATGAGAGGTTCTTGTAAGCAAAAATTGAAGGTTCGTACAAAAACTACCATTGTGGAGTTTTATGTAGGTTTTAATTTAGTGACGTGGAAATGATATAACAAGAAAAAGTATAAAAAATTGGTTCATATGAGAACCTTCATTAGAGATGTTGTTTGCATGACTCGAACTGGTGACCTATGGCCTCCAGGAGGAGCCCTAGGGGCCCAATCCTTATTGTCAGTTGAGTAATTCCACAAGGTTCTTATGATTTGATCTGATTTGATGTATACTAGTGGTTGCATAATGTATAGCCTTGAGTTGCTTAAATCGGACCTTAGTTTGACTCGTATGAGTTCTCAATGCTTACTAGCTTGTAAGATTGCTCGGTTCATAAGGGTTTCATTTTTAAGCATTTTTAAACGCATGACTTTTGATACAGTTTGTGGAGATGAAAAACTGTAGTAAAATAATTATACGTTTGTATACTCGTTTTGTTGTAGATTAAAAATAGATAATTATCTATATTATAACAACCGTTAAAGTTTTTTTATATTGTTTACATTAAGGATGTGAGAATCCATAAGTGACTTCGAGTACGGGCGCTAGGTACCTACCTCAAAATATCACCAACATATAACTTGAAAAATGAACATAAGTAGCCAATACTGAATTTTAGGCTTCAAATCCGAATTCACGAGAACTCAAAATTTGAGACGAAAATAAAAATTTCTGAATTTCAAGTCTGACTGTCTAACCATCTAAATTATAGAAACAAGAGGTTAATAAGAAGGCCAAAAACAAAAATGGGCCTGAAAAGACTACGGACTGAATGTAAAAGTCCAAATGAAAATTACAAATAGTAACAAAAAATACAAAAGTATCTAAAAACCTGGTAAAACAACGTTATTAGGCCTCGAAAATTATGTAAGTCCTCTGGGTCCTACCAAGGAAATGTCCGTTTCAAGTTTCGAATCGACTAATCATGAGCTTGAAACGAAGTCCCGTAGTAAAAGGTATAATATATTATAGTGTTGACTCCTACCAGGTAATTATTTGGGTAAACGGTCCCTTATTAATTATATGTATACAGGTAATTACTAAATTACCCCTCAGTAAAATAGTTGCATGTGTGTTATGAATTAGATGATACAAGCTCAAATTATGAACCACAAAATATACACAGAGGAAAAACCATAACAAACAAAAAAGCATGTGAATAAAATAAAATAAAAAGGCAAAGAAATGCATGGTTGAAACTTTTAATTAAAATACTATATTCATAAATGAATATAAAGGTTCAAGTCATTCGGTCTTTGTTAAGAAACAAATCTTGTATAACATTATTGAATTATAAGATAAAAAGGCACCTATTTTGATAATCAATGAAATTAAGACGATCTTGAGAACTAGTATATAATGTGTTATTTTATATGATTTTTATTATTATTTAAAACTAGAGTTTAGAATGTTAGTTAACATATATTTGTTTTATAATGTGTTTAGTTGATATGTATTTGTTTCACAATCTGAACATTTTAGCATGTTTGTGAAACAAAAGTTATATGTAAATCAGTTTCACATTGCAAAACGAATACATATGAATCAAATACATTGTGAAATAAATATATGTTCATCAATAAATGTTAGTGTTATATAGGAAAAAATCATGTAAGACAACCCTTAAGGTGAAAATTATCACCGTTATCACAATATATGAAGTTCTCAAATGATTAAACCAATATAAGATAATTACATTTTCTATAACATGCATAATAAATATTTACCGATGCATTTTGCATCGTAATTGTTAACCATGATAACAAAAGAGGCTACTCCATCACAAACGACTATTTACGCGTCAGTTTTTTTTTTTCAACTGGGCTATTTAGCTAGTGCTACAAGCGAGTCAAGTTAAACTTGTTATATTATGCTGAAACTCAATACAGTACTTTGACAAGTCTTCATGATGCTGGTCAAAAGTCGGATTGAGAAAAATACAGGTTTAATTCAAGAGCTATAGAAAATTCATCAAATTTGTTTTCATTAAATAAAAAAAAAACTCGATTCAATGGCATAGACAGTATAAACATGCTTATTAGAACTGTGTTTGATAAAAACAAGTTTATTTCGAGTACGATTAAACGATAAACAAAAAAATGACCATGTATACGTACTTTTTAAGACATGAGTTTCGTTTGAAGTCACATGTTTTTAGGCCTTATTTATACTCAAACTTGAATTGTAAACTCTGTAAAAACACGTCTAAAGTTTTGAAACCATGATCATTAATGTTACAAATATCTTTTTAAAAGATTTAACAGATAAATAAGTGAATTCAATTCTAAATTTTTTGACGTACACATTAAAAGTACTCTAAGTACCAGGAGATCTCAAGTTCAAATCCAAGGAGGAATAAGAATCCCCTTATGGCCACGGAGGTTCAAATACGGTGACTCCGAGATATCTGCAAAGCAGGTGATCACTTTGGGATTAATCGGCTCCCATAGCGGGTTGGATATCCAGGTTCATCCAAACAAAAAGGTACTCTAAGACTATTACGTTTGTTTTAGAAAGAACAAGAGTTAACTGATTTTCCTTTATGATTTTATCAGATAATTGTTTAGATACAGAACGAGTCCACTTTATCAGTCTAAAAAAAAGGATACATGAGACCCGAAATTTCATCACCATAGACTTAATGCGAGTTTTTTTTAAAGAATATAAAACAATATTATTTTGATGATAAGTTTTTCAAATAACAAATTTGGACCTACTATTTGGACAAACCTTGATGTACCATGTCTCTTTTTCTCCATTAAAAGGTGGAAAATTATTGAAATAAGATATGAACAAAATAAATAAAACCATCATATCAACTTTTATTATACCGCAACAATTAGAGAAATTTCAATAGAAAATTTACGAGTATTTGTTTCGTAGAGTTCTGACTATATATATATATATATATATATATATATATATGTGTGTGTGAGAGAGAGAGAGAGATATATATATATATATATATATATATTATGCAATATTTTACATTTGTACAACTAATATAACTCAATATCAACCATCTATTTAATTTGATGAATATGTGATTTCATAAAAGTTTTGATTGTTTTCTAATATAAAGTATTGATCATAATTAATAAACTCTATTCATCTTCCATAAATATTCAAATCATAATAAATGAACTCTCATCATTTCTATAAATATCTTAATTAATTGGGTTGTGTTGGTTGTACAAATAAACATTGTTGCATTTGAAATATACCCTATATATATATATATATATAGAGAGAGAGAGAGAGAGAGGCTTGGGATCATGTGAGACCAAGGGTTTTTTGTAAGACCAATTTTCAACCATTGGATTAGATCTACAATCTGAACATTCATAATCACAAAATTGCCACGAGACTTCTCAATAATCACAAAATTGTCACCGTGCAACTTTAGATCATTAGCTTATAAAGTTGATCAATGAACATGAATTGGTTTTACGGGTCTCACGAAAAACTCTTGGTCTCACGTGAACATATTGAGTTAAGAAAAATCATTAAAAAAATTGAATGACTATTATGAAGATTAGGTAGATGGTGTAACATAATTGTGATTGGTTAAGGATTAAGAAGTGATGAATGAGTGTCTTTATCATGTTTAGGGACATGGGTTTCCTCTTAAATCCACATTCATTACCTTTTTCATTTGACTAAATTAAAGTGTAGTTTGTTAGTTAGGGAACAACCCCACTTCACGCATCAACATCCCACTTTTGAACCATTTTATGGTATTTATCATTGTTTTTTAGAAAAACTTATTCAGAAATATCAGTAATGGAATAAAAATGTTCGGTTCATATTAAATCTTTTGTTAAGTTACCCTAAAAGATGGCAGAGGCTAGGTGGAACGAAACAGTGGAAGGTCATTAAGAATTTATCTATGCTCGATACAAGATATCGACCTGTAGCTTTATTCGTTTTCTTTTTGAAGAAAAGGAAAGGTGGGGGTGACTTAACTTTTTTCAGCTAGAGTCAGGATGGGACTTGCTGGCATAATGCAAGCTGGAATGTGGGAATTTTGGGTTTGGTTCCAAGTGTCGTATATCTGGTTTCGGAGTGGTATATTTGTACAAATAAGTCAAAGTTGGAGTTTATGGAATGTTTGGTTAGAGTTATTAAGCAGTAATCAATAAGAATGAATATAAAAGAAAGTGTTTGATTTTCTATAATAAAATGAGCTCATTCCTCCATAAGCCCAAAATTTCATTTATGGTTAAACTGAGAGAAATGAAAATTCATTCCTCCATTTTCATTCTTTAGTCGGAGCCAAACAGACCCTTAATAATCACAATGTGAGAACTATAATTCTTATTGGATTAGGCTCCTTGTAGATATTGGGCTAGTAAACCAGCCATCTAATAATCGTTGTATATTTGATTTGTCTCTCATATGATGCTTTTAAAAAAAGACAGTATAAGCCCTTTTTGCACAAAATGCAGGAATGTGAGGTGTTGTAAACTACTAATAGAAACCTACTTTTTCTTTTCAGAATAACAACTTTTTAAATAAATTGTAAATATAAATAATGCTATTAATATGTATTCATTACTATTTAGTATTTAATAATTACCCACCAATCTATATATATAAAGGAAAATGTGTATTAATAAACTCATTAATTA